AAAGAGATTTGCCTCTGAGAAAATCCTCACTAATTACCAGGAGCATCTGGATGAAAGCAAGAACTCCCTTTTGCCTCTCTTTTGCATGTGAAGGCTACTTACGTCTGAGGTCTGGGGAGGGGAGAGGAGATTATGTCAATTCTGGAAACCAAAGCCCCCCTCCTCATATCCCTTATGCATCTATCTGAGTAAATAAACTAGTGACATAAGCAGTCACTTCAGAAGCCCAGAGCAGGATTGGGAAGCAAGGCTTGAGCCTCAAGAGGAAAACTGCATGAGAAATTATGTGCAAAACTGCACCAATGCCCAAACACCTGAGGCCCACTGAGATCCCATTACAGGCTTGGCAGCAGCTGCATCAGCCACCCACCTGAAAGCAAATCAGTGCACAGCTGGAAAATTCCAGGAGGGCTGCCACCATCGCTGCTTCTGCTACCCCACACTGCCTGTGCCCAAGTGGCCACCTGCTCTGTAATACAGAACCCGTTCAGCTAGGGTTCTAAGTTTAGGGACCAAACTTTGTTCTTAGAATGGAAACAGGCAAATAAAGAGGAGGTCACAGAGGACACAGCTGACAAAAGGCACTGGGAAAATTGCAAATGCTATAAGCTTTGGTTCAAGCCACTATACTACTTCCTAGCTATCTGACCTTAAACAGGTATTTTCCCCTCTCCAAGCCTCAGTTCATCATCTATAAGATGGGGATACTATTATTATAATAATAGATATTAGTTATTTTATAAAACAAAAATGGTAAAAAAGAGAAGAAGGGATTGCTGCCTTCAATGCAGAGTCAACAAATCCTAAGGCCTTCACTGAGCCAGAAAAGCATCCTGATTTCATGGCTCCCTTATCTGAACTCCCAGGGGAAATTCCACCCACTTATTTAGCCCTTAATAAGAATAAGCAACATTAGAATGCCTGCTATGCACCAGGCACTTTACTTACTCAAGGATTAAATAAGACTACAAAATCTCTAAGATTAGTGTGATTACTATTTTACTGAGGAAAGTAAAGTCCTAAGAGGCTAAACAAGCCATCCAAGGTCACACGGCTGAATAGCAGGACAGAATTTGAACCCAAGGCTGACACCAAATCCCGTGCTCTATATACCACCTCTATACACAACCTGAGCCTCAAGGGTGTTTGTTTCATTCAATGTGAGAGGACAGTTGCATGTACTTTTCTCTGTTTCCATAGGTGAGTAACTCCAAGTTCCTTAAAGACAGAGAGGGTGTTTGATAGGTCTAGAGATTCTCCTAGAGATTCTCCTAGAGACACAGTAGACCTTCAGTCAATACTGAATCAGTCAATGAACAGATGAATGAATGGATGGATGCTCTGAGATTTCACCTTTCTTCTAGAGGTCAGAACCTTAAGTGGAGGGGGCAGGTAGAGCTAGAATAGAGCTAGAGCTAGAGACCATGGCTGAGGAGGAGCCAGGCAGAGGGTTCTTAAAGTGGAACTTATTATGACAGCACTGCCCCTTAGTGGCACCTAGGTAATCAAGAGCCCTCGGAAGAACCTCACGCTTTAGAAATGGGGCTAAGTGACAAAATCACTGTAACAAAATGTGTTCTCTCTCCTCCCTAACTGTGAACACACTCACAAGAAGGAACAAAAGCAAACGGGAAGAACTATGGGCCCCACTTCCCTTTCCCACCAGGCCTTGTAACTCCTCAAGCTATGGCTTCCCATTGTTGCCTGTTATTTATCGCTGGTGCCAAGGAGGGTGCTTCCTCTCCAGTCAGCTTCCTCTCTGGTCATCAGCCAGACAACTGCTGGATTCCAGGATGGCCCCAGAGCTTCTGTCAATTCCTCCCAAGGAGTCCAGCTCCTTCCTCCTAGGCCCCTGATCTCCCTGAATGATGGATCTCAGTCAGACAGAATGGACTTCCTTCCTTATGCCTCATCAACTTAGAGAGGGAAGAAGGGAAGAGATCAAATCCCCCAGTGGCCTGTGAACACGCACCTCTGAGGATTTCCATCCAGACCAGCCTTGGCCCCGAGAGTACCAGATGCTCAATTCTGTGTCAGAGTTGAAATTTTTTTTTCCTGTAATTTTCACCTATGGGATCCCAGCTCTGCTCCTTCTGACCTCACAGAACATGACTGCCCCCTCCTTCCTACAACAGCCCCTCAGTGATCTCAAGACAGAGAATACATCTTCCCTTGAGTCTTCTCCAAGCCAAACAGGCTCATTCACCCCAAACAGAGTAGCACAGTAGGGAAAAGTATAGTTTTTACAGTCAGAGCTATATTTGAAACTCTGTATCACAATTTACTAACTACATAACCTAGAGTGTGTTGTTTCACCTCTCATAGGCAGGGTCACTACAAGGATTCAAACAAGGTTAGTCCATAGTAGGTACTGACTAAATCATATTTCTCAAAACAACACTGATCTTCCTGGTGGGAAATCATGAATTTCCTGGTTTCCTCCCTTTCCTCTCCCCAAGCAGTATGAAAGATTCAAGTCTCTCAAGGGCTTTTTTGGGGAAGCAGTAGCTTTCAGAACTAGCACACCAATCTGGCCAGGGCTCCCTACCAACTGGGCTTCCCTCAGAACCACACCCACAGTACGCAAACCAAACCAACACTAACAAAGAACTATCCGGCCCTGTGGCTTTTCAAAGTTAATAAACCCCTTTGTTCAAGTATTTTTCTGCTCTAGGCTCTAAATTATGCCTTCTTCACCCTCCACAGCAACGCCCTCCAATGCAAATGGACAAAGCCCCCAGTGTTGAAGGCAGGGAACAGTGTCATTTGTTTGAGAGAGGTGGGGTATAGAACCAGGGCTCTGGGAAGGCATCTGGGTAGAGGCCAAGGGAGTCTCTGGTACCCAGCTGGACTATAAAATCCACATTGGCTGATACTCCCCTCTCTACAGCTGCTGCCCAGAATGATACTGCTGTCTGAAGCAAAGGGCCCAACAGCCTACCTACGGTAATGGACACCTTCTCCCTTTTGTCCCAGAGACAGTAGAAGCCTATCTAGGAAGAGCTGTGCCCCCCGCCAGGTATCCTTCCCCTTCCCACCCCCTGGCATATGCCAATTACAGATCATACTCAAGTGAAGCATTTCCCTCCTTTTTACAGAAAGGGGTCATCTGAAATCCAAATAGTGGGGTTAGAAATGGGAAAGAAAAGATATGGAATACAGAAATAAATGCCACAGATAAATTTCTGAGAGATAACCAGATTTGAGATATCAGTTAGACAGTGTACAGATGGGGAAACTGAGGCCCAAAGAGGGGAAAGTTTTGTGTATCAGGAGAGTTAGTGGTAGAGCCAGGCCTAAGGCTCCAAATTTCCAACTTTCTATCCAGTGCCCTTTCGACTTCACCAGGCTGTCCCTTGAAAAGCTTTCCAGTATAAAACCTGCATGCAAAGGGAGAATGCAAAACCTTAATGTAATCAAAATGCATTCAGTCATTCCAGACTAGCATTGCAATCACTTGTGAACTATGTGAATGTCAGCACATTAATTGTAGTAAATGTGTGTTTAAATGTTCCTCTGACTAATTTGTCTTTTGTAAATTAAATATCAGTGACTACCTTTCACCATTCGATACAAAACAAACTCCAGAGAAGAAGCAAGTTCTAGCTAGATCCAAAGTTAGATATGCTGAGGATCTTCAAGCCCATCTCCCAACTCTAGCTGATTAATGAGACAAGAAGTGTCGCAGCATTTGGAAGCTATCATTTATTACATCTCTACTACATGGCAGATGCTTCACATAACACTCACTTCTCTATTTATATTTTCTTATTGCCTTTCTCCCCTATTTCTAATTTATCCTTTTGTATAATTATAAACCACCGTAACAAGTTTTCTGAGTAGCAAGTGAGATACAAATAACCTACTCTTTCATAACCTCACAAGAAGCCTTTGAGGTAGGTATTAGACCCACTTTTGGGGGACAGGGCCAGGAGAGGAATGAGACTACCAACCCAGAAAGGTTCAATAATTTTCCCAAGGCCTAGCTACGAATCTGAAGATTTTGTTTCCCCATCTGTAAAATGGGGCCAGTACTAATTCCTGCATTCATTGGGCCTTGTGATAGTCAAATGATATGGTACACAAAATGTCTGTCACGGTACCTGACATACTGTAAGCCCTGGACAAATGTTAACTTTCATCTGTAATAGCCATAGACAACAATTTTCCCACTCTACCACATGACATCAGGGACTCAGGAGACATGCCCAAGCTGTCCTCACATTTCTAGGCATATTTTCCTTCCTTTTACATAGAGATCTGAATGGAAAACAGCCTTGCACCATCCCCATCTCCATCCTCTCCCCTCACCAGTCAGGAGTATTCATAGTAACAGAATGATCTCATTTGAATATAATCTCCTTCTTCCTTTCCCTTCCCAACTCTGGGTAAGCTCTCAGACAGCAGAGGTACTCAGAGAGCAAAGGAGAAAGGGAAGCCAAGAGGGCCTGGAAAATCCATTAAGGGGACATGCGGTCCCAACATCCAGGACAATGTTAGACCCCCACCTCACCAGAGGCAGGTGTGGAAATAGGATAATGGCCCACCTGGAGGGATTCCAATCTCTGGAAATGGGAACCCCATTTTTACTCCTAGAAGTCTGGTCACAGATGGCACACTCCTTTGGCCCCCGGAGGGTCTTTGAATGCTAACAGATTCTGTGGCCCCCACATGCCTATTATATAGTACATCCCTTTTGACAATGATGATTCACAGCAAAGGAACACCCCTTGGATTGGAGATGGGAATGACCACTTCAGCATTATCTCCATGGCATGATTACAGGAGCTGAGGTATCCTCCTATTGCATTCATCACCCCCAGCGGTATCCTAAGTCCCAATATTCCTTGAGGGAAATGTACATAGAGCACACTACTTCAGGGAGAATATGTTGGTTTCCTTCTAGGAAGAAAAAACAATGTGACAGAGGCCATGTTGTAGTGACAAGAACATGGGGTTCAAAATACCATCCAGATACCAGCTGAGTGCAATTAAGTTATTTAATTTCTGAGCGTCATCATCAAAATAGAGATCACTTACATCTTTCAGAGTTGAGAGAAAGGCTCTGCATGCTGACATTTTAAAAGCATCTAGCACAGTCATATCCTACTCACTTCTCTTTTCTCCCATGTTCAGCACCAAGGATAGGATTAATCGGGGCCATCAAGGTGTAGGCTGCCAAAGTTAAACTTTGCCTCCTTTGTTATTAAGGCTGAGGCCAGCCTTTGTTTTGACCTATCCTGGAGGAGTGAGTATTAGAGATTCCCCAAAAGTGGGTATTATGGTGGAAGCTATTGGGAGAAGTGGGGGGCTAAGGAGCAACAAGTCCCTCCCTTACCTGGTCAAACAGCTGCTTGCCAGTGGTGTTGGGCTGAATGGCAAATTCCAGCTCTGCGTCCATGGTGGTCACACGCACATTGATCTAGGATGAGATCAAAGGAGGCAAGTTAGTTGTCTGGCTCTATGCTCAGCAGAGCCTGGGACAAGTCTCTGTTCAACCATAGGAGAGGGAACTAAGATGCAAGAACCTAAGACATTTAGATACTGATGTGAAGGAAGGGAGACTATTATTGAAACAAACAATAACCTAGCCCCTGCTCCCAACCAGTTTACTGAAGACAAAAAACCCCATAGCTACAGGGCAATGCTTACCAAGGGACAAACAAATGAATGCAAATCAACCTACTATCAAGAGGAAACAAGTGTTGACTGTACTTCTTCCACCTACACCAGCCAGCTGCAAGCCCATAGCGTTCTCTGCCCACCTCTGATCTATAGCCTCGATTATCTACAGCACTGATCTTTGCAGAGGCAAGTTAAGGGCAGGATAAAGAACACTGCCTTCTAAGCCTAGCATCATAACTGGTTCACTCTACAACCTTGGATAAGTCTTATCCCCTTCCTGGGCCTTAGTTCCCCTCATCTGTACAAGGGCAGAAGTGCAGGGGGTGGAGGTTGTCAATTACACTAGGCAATCTCCAACAACCATTTCAGTGCTGACGTCTATGGTTCTATATACTGACTTACATTGTTAACACTTCCTGTATTTATGTCTCACTGGTCTCCCTAGGCTCAAGAGAGGAAAGGGGCCTCAACAGAGATAGGTGTGGGCAGCACAGAGGTGCTTGACTTCCCAAAGCCAAGTCAGCAGAGAGAAAAGGAACAGGGACAGGCCCTGATGGAAACACACAGTATTTCACAGGCACTAGAAAAAGTACCCTCTACCTTTAAGAAGAGATCCCCTAGCCAAAGTCAATGATAGCTGAAATTTCATCAATAGAGATATGTTCCTTTGGCTGAAAGCTTGGTGGTGGTGGTAATAGTATTAATAGCAACAATAAGCAGCAGCTTTCATGTATGCAGACTTATTAGTCACTAGGCACTTTATATGCACTACCCCATTTAATATCAACAATCACCCTGTGAAGTAGAGAGTATTATCTCCACAGTGGGGATGAAGACTTAGATATTTGCCTAAAGTCACATCACTAGTAAGTGGGGAAGACAGGGTTTGAATTCAGATCTAAGTCCAAGCCTCACAATTTAAACCAATACGCCAAACTCCTCTTACACCAAAGTGTAAAATGTCTCCATTAAAAGAAATCAAAGATTAAGTGTTTTTTGTTGTTGTTGGACATTTTGCTTAAGTAACCTATATGGTATAGCCACAAGATGGCTTGTTACATGGTCATATAAAATATTCATAAAGACTATTTCATGCCCAAGGCAAATACTTCAGTAATATTAAGTAAGGAAGACTAAGCAACAAGATTTCATGAGCTCAACTTTGTAAAAAGTATGCCTACAGAGGTTATTGGAACCATACCCAAGTGTTAGTCAGTCTTGGTTTTTGGGTAGTGATCTTATGAGTGCATTCTCCCTTCTTTAAATTAAAAAAAAACTAATCTACATTTTCTAATATGCTCATATATTATTTATACTATTGGGAGGGAACTAAAAATAGAATTGCCAAAGATACAAATCCCCACGGAGTGGGTAAGACATAAGGCCTTATCAGTCTTTGACACCTATGGGCCCTTCCTGAGCACAGGGGTCAGCTAGCAGGGAAGAGAGGGCCAGACAGCAATTTTGCCAGCTAAACAATTCTGATGAGGACCAGGCCTGGGGAACAATTTTGTAAATAAATCTCACCAGGGAGCCAAGGAGGAAATCTATTTCAGGATTGACAATGGGACAGGAAAGGCCATGAAGGCAGGAACAAGTAAGGCAAGTACCCCAGTGGGAGACAACGGGCAGGGTTAGCCACTTTGACTCAGTGTTACCTAGGCTTCCTGCCAATACAGTGACCTCCATAGAATAGGCCCTCATAAGGTAGGGGGAATGAGGCCCAAAGGGCTGGAATTTGGCCTCAACATCTAGCCTTAAATCACACTTGAGGTGAGTCAGGGGAGCCCTCAAAACACCAATGACTTGATAGGGATAGGGAAGAGTAGAAAAGGGACAGTGGCCCTTTTAGTGCATTGAGAAATTTCATTCTCACCTCAAGGTTTCTGTCTTAATTAGAGTTACCTCTCTAGTATCCAAGACAGAGTGGGTACTCACAAGATACTGGCTAAATGAACAGAACTAAGCAAGGGGATATAAGAGATAGATATAACATAGTATACAGAATCAGAGGTGGGAACATTTTACATCTTGACATTTTTGTGCCATGGACCTTTCCAAGCAGTTTAGTGCAGTCTATGGACCTCCTTCTCAGAATATTTGTAAATGCATGAAATAAAGTAGATACAAAGAGACCAATTATATTGAAATAGTTATCAAAGTTTAATATGTACTTCTTTATTATATTATATATTTACCTAACACTGGGTCTTATTAATTATTACTACTGTAATTTCAACTTTGTCTTCGGCATAAATGATATTTTGAGAACTCTATAATCAGTAAATCGTGATACAAAAGTATCTTAGATTTCCACTGGTGACAAAGTCATAGGTACTAACTTTTTTTTGGGGCCTACATGCATAATTGAAAGAGGGGCTAAATTTCAGTGAGACGTTAGTGAAATCAAATATGTAATTTTCCTCCATCCAACTTCATAGATCCTTCCCACTTCAAATAATACCCATGGACTTCACAGAGGCTCAAGGACTCCAGGTTAAGGAGCTTCCTATAAATTTATTTCAGTTTACCCAATATTAATGGAATAGTATGTTTAAAGAACTATGGTTGCAGTAGAGCTACAGGACCAGTCCTTGACCCCAAGGTACTTACTGAATAACAGGAAAATTATAATATACAAGGGAAACCCTGAGAAGTGCCATACCAGAACAGAAGAAACCTTTTGTGGAAATACGGAACCATAGTTCAAAGTGGTATTTGCACTGGTCTCTAAGGATAACCTGGATTTTGAAAAAGGGAGAGTGTGGGAATTGGGGGGGAGAGCACACAAATGCCCTAGGTAGAGAAAGAAATACGTGCAACGGCCCAAAAGGAGACAGAGATAAAAGCATGCAGGTCTATACTGCTGAACTGAATGAATAAGCATTTTCAGAACTCTAATGGAAAAGTGATTAATTCATAAAAGTGCTAACAAAAGATCAAGATAAAAAAAAATTAATTACATGGGACTGAGTGAACTGATGAGGATGATTATAATTTTTGTGACTTTCTGTTTGAATTAAAAAAAAACACATTTGTAAATAAAAAAAAAAAAAAAAAGCATGCAGGTCTCCTCCAGGGTAAATGAGGCCTGCAAGGTGAAGAGTGGGCAGAGAGGCCAGGAAGGTAGGTGGAAGGCCTTGAAGAATATGCTAGAAAGCTGGGCCTTAATCTTGTTGAGATTGGCCAGCCACCCTGAAGGTTCTGAGCAGGGTGGGGCAGAATCAGAACAGGGCTTTTTAGAAGAAAGCACCCAGGGAGGACACCGAGGAAAGGGGTGGGGCTCTAGGGAACATTCCACAGCTAGGAGTTCCCTTTATTTTTTTTTTAAGATTTATTTTTTATTTATTTATTTATTTTATTTATTTTTGGCTGTGTTGGATCTTAGTTGTAGCACGCGGGTTCGTTGGGGCATGCGGGATCTTTCATTGCGGTGCACGGGCTTTTCTCTAGTTGTGGCATGTGAATTTTCTATCTCTAGTTGTGGCGCGCAGGCTCCAGGGCGCGTGGGCTCTGTAGTTGTGGCGTGTGGGTTCCAGAGTGCATGAGCTCTGTAGTTTGCGGCACACAGGCTCTCTAGTTGAGGTGAAGGAGCTCAGTAGTTGTGGCACATGGGCTCAGTTGCCCCGCAGCATGTGGGATCTTAGTTGCCTGACCAGGGATCAAACCTGTGTCCCCTGCATTGGAAGGCGGATTCTTTACCACTGGACCACCAAGGAAGTCCCAGGAGTTCCCTTTAATTCACACTACTGGGAAGAATTTTCAAAGGAAATTCAGTGTCTCTTGCAGATCATGTCAATCACAGTTCATACCAATCTATCATCTTCAGGGGCTGGCCCACAAGTCCAAATATTTAACTTAAATATTTGGTAAATAAATGTTTCTTAAATAAATCAACTGATAGAAAAGAACTCAGCCTGGGTTAGGAATAAGCATGTCAGAGAGGCTAGTACTGTACAGCTTCCTCCCTCCTAATACAGCATCGCCCCAGAACAAGGGCTCTCCCCAAATCTGAAGCTGTCCAGCTGAAACCAAACTGGAACCTACTTCTCTAAAATCTCTGCTCAGAATTTCTGTCATTCCACTGTGGCTGCTTCTTGAGGGAAAGCAGCCTGTGGTTTCCTGAACTTCACTGTGGAGACAAATAATCTTAGGTTTAAAAAAATTGGAAAGAAAAGCAAACACAAAGGGACTTCTCTTCTTGCCATCACTTACCTCAGAAGAAAATGTGAGTCATGAAGACAGGGTCATGGGTCTGTGTTCTCCTTTTTTTCTGTGTCAGAGGTAGGGGGTAGTAAGGGTAATAGCATGACTGGGGCTGAAGGTGATAGGTATAGGGCAGGATTGTTGATCAAAGAATATCCCTTGTCTTCCTTAAGAGTAATCTGAGACCCAAATGTATACAAGGAGCTGCAGGCTCAGACCCACTGCCACACAGGGCCCACTGGATGCTCACCCTAGTGGGCAACCACTGCCTTCCTTTTGGGCCTGGCCTCTTCAATCTCAATGAGGAAAAGAGGGCAGTCTAGTTTGAGAGGCAAGAACTTGAAAATAAAGCCTCCAAAGTCAGCAGAAAGTTCCCAGGCAGGCCCTCGGCTCAGCAGGAGTGGAGGAGCTGGCCTGGGTGGAGTAGCATTTCAAGATGTGGTCCCCAACAGAGAACTAACGCCCTGTCTAAGCCTGTCCTTGAAAACTGTGTCTCTGGAGAACATTTAGAGTTTAAAGAACAAAAAAAGTCTGGGTGTGGTGGGGGGGTGACACCCTCTCATACACCCTAGCCCTCCCACCCCTAGCGCA